GCCCTGGGGGGTGGGGGGGGTGGGGCTTGACCCTTGTCCTCTGGCGATGGCCACCTTAGCCACTGCTCCACTGGAGGAGCCCCCCTCCCTTCTGGGCCCCCCTTCTCTGTCCTTTGCATCACTGACACCCATGAGGGCTGGTTAGAAAAGGTGCATTGTGAGAAACTGGAGTCTTGGGCAAGCTGGGAGCTGGAACTCGTTCCCCAGACCGGAATATTAGAATGGGAGCGGTGGAAATGCCAACAGGGATCCTGGGGGACTCAGCCTGCCCCTTGCTCCCGTGGCTCATGGGGCTGGTCACAGGCAGCCTGGACCCCGGCAAGGGCTCTTCAACTACATGCTAGGCCAGTGCAGAACGGGGGTGGAATGTGCATTGGGGCGTTTAAAGGGAAGGGTTTGGAGTCTCTCGACTGGATGAGGCCTCAGCGAATACCACGTTCCCTTGGTGGTGGCAGCCTGCTGCGTGCTCCATAATCTCTGTGAGAACAAGGGGGAAAGGTCTCTGGCAGGGCGGGGGAAGATCACCAAGCCAGAGGTTTTGAGCAGCCAAGTACCGGGCAGTAGGGAGAGCACAGCGCCGGGCAGTGCAAATCAGAGAGGCTTTGAAAGAAGGATGTAGGAATGGCCAGTTTTGAGAGCCACGCACATCTCAGCTCACCGCTGCCCTCAGTGTGCTTGCCTGGAAACCCCTCCAGTTCTGATACAAGCAGTAAAGAGAGCGCTGCTCAGAAGTCGTGTGGTTTTATTTAGGGAACCCAGCAGGGACAGAAAAGGAGTCCTTGGCGTCAGGCGGTGGGGATCAGAAATATGAGTGGGCAGCTTCTGCTTTGTGATGCTCCTTGGGGATGGAGTGTGAGGCTGCCTTTGAGAACCACCTTCGGTGATCTAGGGCAACTGGGTGAGGCAGGAAAGTTGGTCTGCACGGAATGGGGGTGATGCTGCACACGTACGAGATAAAGAAATCCATAATCCCCCGGGGCTGACTTGGACCCTAGTTTGGCCTCTTTTCAGCTCACTTAGGGTATGTGTAGACTACATGGGTCCGGCGATGGAGCCATGTAGATTAACTTTCTAGACAAAGGGAAATGAAGCGGCGATTTAAATAATCGCTGCTTCATTTACATAAAAATTGTTGCCGCACTGTGCTGATCAGCTGTTTGGTGGCACAGCGTGGTAGTCTGGACGCTCCACGGTCGACAAAGGAAGTCCTTGTCAACTGCCCTGTTATGCCTCATGGCCTTATTGTTAATCATTGTTAATGATTTTAAGAGGAATAAGGGACCTTTCGGAAAAGGCTTTATTTTCCGAAAGATCCCGTCTAGACTGGCGCTTTTCTCCCGGCAGCCATGTTCATGCAAACGCCGCGGGGAAAATGTAAATCCCCGCGGCATTTGCAATTCCGACTTGTCTCATTAGCATCCCTTTTCCGGAAAAGGGGGCCAGTGTAGACACAGCCCAGAAGTGTGAACTCACCAGAAGAGCCCTCCCTGGCATTAGTGCCCGACTGAGACATCCTGGGAGGAGGGGATTGTCTCCAAGGTTATAAAAAGTTCTTGGTTATCGGTCACCTCAGTTGCTCACCTGCTGACCGTTCTCCTCCTTCTCTTCCACCATGCTGCCCTCCATGCTGCTACCCTGAGTGGGTCTCCCTAGGATCGCCTGTTGCTGCGTCTAGAAATGGCATGTTTGTGGCGATGCTCCAGACTGTTCATTTGATTCGTTGTTTTGTGGTAGGTCTGCCTCAGCACCTTTATTTTCACACAGCGCTGCTGGGAGTCCCTGGCGTATCCGTCCTCCACCACGGACTGTGTGATCGTTGCCTAGCTCTCTGCTTTTCATTTGCTGGTTCAGAACTCCACGCGAACAGATTCCTCTCCCCACACACCCATGAGATCCAGGATCTTTCACACTCCATGCAGGGCCGGTCCGAGCCATTGTGGCGCATGCCCAGGCCTGCCCCCGTAGGGAGCACAGGCCTGCCCCCGGGGCACACGGCGCATGTGCTGCCCCGCCCATTCTGGCCACTGCTGCTGGCGCGCAGCACCTGGCTGTGCAGGGCCCCACGGGCAGGGGGGAAGGGTGCTGCTGGCCGGCACCACAGGGATGGGGTGGGACAGCACTGTGGGAGGCGGGCGCGTGGCACCTGATGACAGCTATAAGGGATGCCACGTGCCCCTTACAGCTGCCAACAGGCACCCCCCCAGTGGCTGGGCCCGGCTCCAGGCTGGAGCTCCTGAAACTTGAA